GTTCTATTTAAAGAGCCACTGTTTCATTTTTTTCGTGTCATACCCGATTGTTTCTTTTCTAATCTTTACGCAGTTTTTTTTATGTAGATTTATTATTCTTGCCATTTGATATTCCTTTCGCAAGTTCCTTCATTAATAAGCAGCCTACGCGAGAATACGAACTCTCTTCTGGATCATTTTTTCATATGCCAACTTTTATCCCCACTTCCCCCTCTCCCCACCTCATTTTTCACTGACTTGGTTCCCACTTATTCCAAAGTCAAGCAATTTTTTTCAACATTTTTCTGATTCGAATTCAAAAACTCTGTGAGGCTCTGAAACTTCATTGCGAATAAGAACACGAAAGTCTCAGAAGAATCCCAAAACCGCTCTGTTTTACACGTGGCATTGTTCCGATGCATGTCACCTTCTTCTGGACCGGACTAATCCTAATTAAGCAATATTGGGGAAATTAACTAACTCTCCCGTGATTGGTTTGGAGGGAGAGAAATTGTTGACCAACTCGTATCATGCCCTCAAATAGACCCGGACCGTCGCATCACCCATTACCAACTTCTCTTTACAGTAACCCATCAGTCGACTGCGGCGAACAGATGCGTGGCTTCTTTTTATTATTGATGTGGGGTGATAATTTAAAATAATCGTTTCACATTCCAAATTTCCAGGTTTCAATATCAATTCTGGGCTTATTTTCCCTGTAGAAATGCGTACAAGCAGTGCCTAATGAGACACATCTGGGGTTAGATATAACTGACATACAGTTACGATTACTTATTACATTACAGATATCTCACTCCTCTTCATCTCTCAACACAAACAATGTTCCAAGCATTTTTGGAGACTTTCCTGCACACTCTGAACGATAGAGTAGTCCACATGGACAACGCAGGACGCCGGAACGCACCTCCAAAACAGGAGATTATTGCTTTCGTGTTCGATAGAGTATGCTATGAATTGGAGAGAGTGAGTTCTTTCAGTTTCTCATTCCCTTCTCAATTTCCAGTTGTTCCGGCGTTTTTGTTGATGGCTGTAACGAGCCAATCTCTTCCAGCTTGCTGAATGGGGTGAACGTCCACTTTCCGATTTGTGCAACTGCGGCGAGGATCATATCCATAGTTGCGATGATGAGAAGAAGCGAGTTGTACTGCTCGGATTGCAGCTGTTAGCATTGGTGGGTGTCACTACTTTTGGACTTTCACATAGTTTATTTTTCTTAAATTATTTTCTTGTGACTACTAACACAGAAATAATTTCCTCGTGGTAAGCAATCTTGCATTGCTTTCTGATAATATGTGTTTCTTACGCCCCGTTCTTGCCAGCTATTACCTGCTCTTTTGCCCCTTTTTGCTTTGATCATGGGTTTGCTCAGAAGTCGGTATGCCCTATTGCAGATTAAGATGTAGCAATTCGATCAGAACTGACCAAGTACGTTATCTGAAGAGTTGGCTTAGAGTCAATAGGTCCTGGCCCTGGTTCTGAATTGCCTCAAAGGTCATGACGAATCATTTGGGTCTTGATTGCTATCTACTAGACGTTTTTCCAGATGAACAGGTTATCATTACCATGCACAACGATGATGAAGAGGATGATATCGTGGACTTATGTACAGCAGCCAATAATGTTAAGGTAACTTTTTTGATTCTAAGGTCACCTCAAACGTTTCTAATGTTTAATAATTCTCTCTTCTACGTCCACACAGATTGGCTCTGATTTGTGATAATTACAGATTGATGTGAAGCGTTTGGTGAAAGCGTGCCGTGAACTTAAGATTCCTCTGCTCCATCTTGCAGTCAAAGAAAACGATTTTGTCGAGTTCGAAGGGTGCGTGTTCACTAAAGTTTCAAAGTCTGATTGGAATTTTCTACGTGATTCCTATTTCTCTCCTTACAGCATACCTTCACATTTCGTCGTGGATCGCTTGTTAGCAGCTGGTATGTGCGTGAATTCGAAGGACGCCGATGGCGATACTGCGTTGCATGTCTCATGGTGAAGAATGTCCACCCTAGGTTTGTTTGCTTGTTCCTCATTTTGTAGCCTTCTGAG